ACGTGTTCTACCTAACATCCTCCCAACTGTAAAACACTCAGCGCCTGGTGGATGACAGGAACTCAGAAGGCAATGACAGCTAACAAAAAGAGAAGAAACTTGTACTTATTAGAAGAGAGCTTAGGCGGGCTTAATTTTTGATTAGGTATTTAATAATGAAGCATTTAATAAATTTTCAGCATTAATATATAATTTGTTTGAAAGTGATACAAGTGGACGAAGTACAAGAAAAAAAGCCCTTATTATTACCTCCCGGGTTTGGAAACAAACAGCTTCCAATGCAGCAAAAGCAATATGGCATTTATTGGTGAACTGAGTGAGCCCACAGATGATCCTAAAAACACACACAAAGATTTTTAAGATTAGAGTGGAGTACACGAGTCAATCTGAAATGTCCTGAATATGGAAAGGTTGACCTTGGTAGACAGAGAAGTTCAGGGGAAAAATGCATATTAAAAAAAAAACGACATAAACAATGAGCAGCTTGGAAAGTCCTTATGGTCCAGAATCCTGCATCCGCATAGGGAAAAGTCCAGGATCCAAATGAACAGATGACAATAATTTAACACCAAATCAGAATTCATCTAGACAATGTCCCCTGGATACATAATTGGCAGAGGCCTTGAAGATAAAAGACCATAACACTGACATGGATGTGGCAGGGGCTTATTGTCAGATGATTTATAACTTCTTGCAATTTAAAGGTCCGGAAATTAATACTCTCCAAACAGAAAAGATTTCCTCAACACTTTAAGATCATTTGAAAATAGATAGGTAGGAAGCTAGAAACTATAAGCTATTAGCTAATTTAGTAAATAAATCAAGACCCGTAAAAGCATACCTCATATTCAATTCTTACCCTCTCGCACTGGGCTCCCAGTAAGGTGCGTATAACCCTGAGAACGCGGGGACGAAATAGCAGCCGTAAGAAGTACCTACTTCTTTAGCAAGTTTTTCTAATAATAATAAAAAAGAGAGAAACAAAAATCATTCTAAAATATTCTATTACTCTAGTCAATAAACACATCTGTATAAAAAATTAGGATAGGGCTTTTGATTTCTTACTTACTAGTAGAGCAAATTTTCCGAATTAAGGATGTAAGCTGGGAGAAACAGAAACAAACTTCCCCACATTGAATACCTGCCACTACAATGTAACCCAGGCCAAGAAATAAAGGAACTGGATTAGTTTCATTAAGGTATTTTAACTCATTTCCACTATTTCTAAGGTGGTTGACTATGAGATGGAAAAGTAGCCTCCAGTGTGTCCCCAGTAAGAAATGTGCTTCTGATTGTCTCATCTTCAGGCCGAAGTAAACAAGTAGATTAAAGAGTGGGTAGATGAGTTCAAAAATAATTATCTGGGGGGTGCCTGGGTGGCTCAGTCGGTTAGGCGTCTGCCTTTGGCTCAGGTCATGATCCCAGGGTCCTGGGATCGAGCCCCAAGTCAGGCTCCCTGCTCAGCAAGGAGTCTGCTTCTCCCTCTCCCTCTGACCCTGCTCTCCCTGCTTGTGTTCAAAAATAATTATCTGTACTGAAAATAGTCATATTAATAGTTAAATGATAGGCACTGGGGTTTCAATGCTCTAATCTAAGAGTTCAAGTTCTTTCTCATCAGGTAAGTGTAACTGAACTACTTTACCTGCAGATTCTGGCCATCTTTGCTGTTCGATTTTACACTTGGGTAATTTTTATGCCCTACCTTGCCAGTTTGTTAATAGCCACCACTAATTATGTCAATTTGTTGTTTTATAAATCTTCACAAAATAGTCTTTTCTATATACATCCAACTCGTAATAGGAATCCATATCATTTAATGTCACATATGGCTCAAAGTACAAGTATTAACAGACTGCAAAGGTAAAATATTAAAAATTTTCATTCTTTAGATTCTAGCGCTATGTTAGAACATACTCACCAATTTCCTCTGAGGTCTGTATAATTCCAAGATTGTCTCTTAGCCAACGAATAACAGCACCGGCTATCGCTACAGAACCCTACGAAAGAAAAGGAAGCCCAGAGAGAATACATGTTAGCACTATAAAAAGATGTCGTCGAGCATTTCTAAATGAAGGACACTCTAAGATGGATACAATTTAAAACTATCGACTTTGGGGCTTTTACAAATATCATAAACGAGGTCTACTAATGCAAACATAGTTTTATCTAGGTCATTAGAGACGTTTTTTTCATGAGACAGGGCAAAGAAGTGAACCCTCCAGCACACCCTTGGACCTATCCAATCTGCTGTTCTGTGGACTGCTGCTGAACTATGAGGTAGATTATCACCCAGAAAACATTCCCACCCTATCTCCCAAGTTATCAGGAAAGGCCACATTAAAAGTTTTTTTCAAAACCATTTCCTGTATCTAACAGCATATTAAATCAAGCAACAGTAACAAAAAAGCGAAGAAGCTAACTACAAAGTAATTATTCAACAAAACCACTAAGGGATGGGGAGGCAGGGAGGAGGCTGTGGCAATAAGGAAGAAAACGTATGATCTGGAGTCAGATGAACAGGCTGAGTCCAAGTTCTAGTTCTTAACTGCTATGTGATCTTAGGCCCGTTAGTTAGGCTTAGTGAGTCTCCATTTCATGACCTATAAAACGGTGGTGACTATCCCAACACCTACTTAAACTACTATGAGGCTCCATATGAGCATGGAGGGGAAAGTTATTACCAAATGTAAATATTAGCTTCATTAGTTTTTTCTGTGTTGAAAAAGTATAATCCAAATTCCACTGACTGATGAATGGACAAATAAATATAGTATATTCACACAATGGAATATTATTTGGTTACAGGAAAGAATGAAGTTCTGCTATAACGTGAACCTTGAAAATATTACGTTAAGTGAAAGGAGCCAGTCACAAAAGACCATCAAGTGCACCATTCCATTTATATGAAATGTCTGCAAAAAGCATATCCATAGAGAGAAAGAATAGATTAGTGGATGCTTAGAGTTGGGGTGGTGCGGTTATTCTTTGGGGTGATGAAAATGTTCTAATGTTAGGCTGTGGTGATGGTTGCATGACTGTGTATACTGAAAACCACTGAACTGTATACTTTAACAGGGTGAATCATGTGATATGTGAATTATGTCTCAATAAAGCTATTATAAAAAGATCCTGAGGAGAAAAAAAAAAAGTACCAGCACAAACCATTAGGAATTTCAAAGGTTTTTTGGTTCTGATGTTTTATATTCATACAGATTATTAATGTAAATTACTTCCAGAGTCACCCCAAACCAAAACATCAGGTGAGATTAAGTACAGAAAGCAGAATGTTTTTTAATCTGTTGCCCACCTCCTTGCCTCCAACTCAATTAACTGAATTACAGATGGTCACCCCTTCTTGCTGTCCATTTCCAGGATATAACAAGCTAGACGTGGAATATGATGATTCATTCTATCATTCATAACTTCTATGAGAATAAGTCACTATATGTTACCGGAAAGCTGCAGACTACCACAATTGTTCTCTTTATACGGCAGCTTTTTAGCTATAAAAAATTACTAAGGAAGAGATCTGACATCACTGGGCAAATTTAACCAGGCTTTAAAAATGGGGAAAAACCCAATTCAACAAATACCTTGAAGGGACTCTAAACCCACTGTCTCTCTCTGGAGAAGTTTTCAGTACACTTCCTAACTTTGATATGTTATGTATTTAGGTACTTAGTGGAACCATCAAGGAAAACTAAAGACTTTAGAATTTTACTCTCAAATGTCCTTTGGAAGCAAACAATTCAAAGATGGTAGCTGTTAAAAACAAGTAAATGTGTAAGATTTTCTAGACCAGCACTGTTCAGTAGAAATATCATGTCAGCTACATACGTAATTTAAATTTTGTAGTTATCAGATTAAAAAAGTAAAATGAGACAAGTTAAAGTAATTGCAATATATTGTGTTTACTCCAAAATATTAAAAATACTATCATTGCAACATGTAATCAATATAAAAATTATTGAGGTATGGGGATTTTTTGGTACCAGGTCTTTGAAATCAGGGGTATATTTTACACTTACACCACATGTCAATTTGGACTAGCCACATGTTCCTAGTGGCTTACCATACTGGAGAGCACAATTCTAGATCTAATTAAAAAAACAGGTGTCCCTTTCTCCTTATATTCTCAAAAGACACTGGGCCTGAACTGCATCTAACCAAGAAATGCAAATATTTTCAATATTTTTAGGTGAGTAAACTGATACCTTCAAACAGCTGCTGGGCTAGAAGTCTGGTGGAATGGTTTTGTGGTTATCAGCTAGCGGAACTTTATACTTTGGGAAACCAAATGCTGATGAACCTCATTTCCATTGAAAAGTCGGTATGTTATAGGCTTAGATAATTTTTTTTTTTTTTTTGGAGAGGAAACGATATTGTTTTAGCAAAAGGAGTATCAAGGTTTTCATGAAAAAGTAACTGGTTGTGAGCCAGAGGGCATTACTTTGATTGAAACAAAAGAAAAAAAAAATACAAAGCCACTCTCAAGGCTCCAGAAGAAAATTATTCTAAATGTGGTCATCAGGAGTATATAGGAGTGTTTGGTTGTAAGTGAAAAAATAAACTGAATATAAGAAAATAAAAGATACATTAAAAACACTCATCTGAAATAAGAATATAATTTTGGTACCCAGATATAATACATGGTATTAGCTAGCCTTCTAAAAAATTAATAAAAGTGAAAGAAACCTCCAAATTCACAAAAGATGTGGTCTTCTGAATTCAGAGGCAGGGGATAAAGTGGAAAATGGCATAATGCTTTCTTTTTTTTTTTTTTTTTTTAAAGATTTTATTTATTTGACAGAGAGAGACACAGCGAGAGAGGGAACACAAGCAGGGGGAGTGGGAGAGGGAGAAGCAGGCTCCCCGCCGAGCAGGGAGCCCGATGCGGGGCTCGATCCCAGGACCCTGGGATCATGACCTGAGCCGAAGGCAGACGCTTAACGACTGAGCCACCCGGGCGCCCCGGCATAATGCTTTCAAGGTGGGCAGGAAAGAGTACAGGAATGGAAACCTAAAATGATAGAAGGTGATGGTCTACTTGCTATCAAAGAACTTATTATCAATTACATCCTAAATATAAAGATCCAATACTTCAGTGTATCGTCTACATATATGAATGAACTCTCATTTGAAGGCATGACCTATATGGGAAAGGCGCATGCAAGCTGAAGAGCTGTACTCTAAGAAAGACATAACAGAAATGAGAAGGTATAAAGAAAAATAAATGAAATGATGAACAGGACAAGAGGAATAAATAATTTAAAAACTAGGGGTGCCTGGGTGGCTTAGCTGGTTAAGCATCTGCCTTCAGCTCAGGTCATAATCTCAGGGTCCTGAGATCAGGCACACATAGGGCTCCTTGCTCAGTGGGGAGTCTGCTTGTCTCTCTCCCTTTGCCCCTCCCCACCCCACTCGTGCTTTCTCTCTCGCAAATAAGGAAATAAAATCTTAAAAAAACCCCAACTAAATACATAGCCTGGTAATCGGAAGGCTAAGAAACAGGCTATGGGAAGAGCAGATTAAAAATAATGAAGTAGGGGGCACCTGGGTGGCTCAGTCAGTTCAGCGTCTGCCTTCGGCTCAGGTCATGATCTCAGGGTCCTGGGATCCAGTCCCGAATCGGGCTCCCTGCTCAGCGGGGAGCCTGCTTCTCTCCCTCTGCCTGCCGCTCCCCCTGCTTGTGTGCCCTTCCACGCAAATAAATAAAAATCTTTATAAAATAACAAAAAAAAGATTCTTTCTCTCCCTCTGCCCCTCCCCCCACCCCTGCTTATGCTTGTGCGTGTTCTCTCTAAAAAAAAAATAATAATAAATAATAAAGTAGATCTGATGTAATGTCATAGAAGACAAATATACTTTTCCTCAAGAGCTCCTTGCCATGAACAGTATCCATATAAAGGAGACATTTCAGGATGTGGGGTAGTTGTATGATACAAGGCAGTTACGGTTAAAATCAGTGGGTATGGAGAAAAATTATGTAAAATTAAGATTATCCTCAAATTGCTTAAAATCATCTATTAGGCACGGTAAACATAGCTTTGTGTATGTGACAGTAATATGCATCTCTGTGTATATAATTTATACTATACTTAATTTGTGTAAGATTACAAATGCAAAATCTAACTCTATAGCATTTTTAATTGCATAGAAGAAAGAACAGAAACCTAGAGTTTAATTGGGCGAGCATTATTTTTAAAATGTAATCTATATTATCAATACTTCAGTTAACAAGTTAGGGAATTAAGATAAAAAGCATTTACTGCTCAGAAAGTATACTTTTCAGGAAAGTACATTACAAAAGTCCAAGAACAACGTTTACAAAGGCTGTGGCAGACAGATTCATAATTAAGGTGGCCTCCATGGTCCCCACCTCCTGGTGTTCGTGCCCATGTGGGATCCTCTCTCCTTGAGCACGGTGGGACTTAGGACTTGCTGCCAAGCAGCAGCACATGTCAAAGGTGATGGATGCACATGATGAAGTATACATGATTAAGCTACATAAGATTATCATGGCTGTTGTCTGGACTCTCTCTGTTCCTTGCTGGCTTTGAGAAAATAGAGGGGGTCCTCTGTTGGGGTCTTCATGTGAGAAGAAACTGCAGATGGCCTTGAGGAGCTGAGGGCAGCCTCTGAGCTGACAACTACCAAGAAACTGAAGACCTCGGTGCTACAACCACAAGGAAGTGAATTCAGCCAATAATCTGAGTGAGTGGGCCTGGAAGGAGATGGAGGATTGGATGAGACCACAGTCTTAGCCAACACCTTGACTGCAGCCTTGTGAGACAAGTGGTTGTAAGCCACTTACATGTGTGGTAAAACTGTTACACAGCAATAGATAACTAACACATAGGCTTATACCAAAAATGGAACATCTGGCTTAAGAAGGGTGAAAACCTCAGGGCGCCTGGGTGGCTCAGTCGGTTAAGTATCTGCCTTCGGCTCAGGTCATGATTCCAGGGTCCTGGGATGGAGCCCTGCATCAGGCTCCCTGCTCTGCGGGGAGTCTGCTTCTCCCTCTGACCCTCCCCCCTGCTCGTGCTCCCTCTCTCTCTCTCTCAAATAAATAAATAAAATCTTTTTTAAAAAAGGATGAAAAACTCTAAAAAGGAAATGTCAACACCATCATCACAAATCATACCAAAGAAGAGATGGGAGAAGGGACATTTAAAGAAACTAAGAGGGCCTACACAGAAGACCTCTTTGAAACTCTTATTTAAAAAGACAAAAATGGCATAAGATTGGTTATGTAAACGGTATTTATTGGGTACCTACTCTACACCAGCCTGCTCCAAAAGAGTGGTGAAGTGGCCAGACAAGTAGCGTGGCCTCAGGCAACTTGCGTCTCAGTGCCACAATACAGAACATGGAAGTCTCAAGTCCTAAGTAATCTCAACTTCATCCGTAATTAAAGCCCCCCAAAGGATTTCTGTTTTGTGAAGTAATATTTGGAAAACATAAACAACAGAAGGGAGAAGCACAGCTTAAGGAAGATGGCATCCTATTAACAGATGGCAGAGAAAATGCAGACCTACTCAACTGCTCTGTTTTGCGTCAACCTCTTCCACCACTAAGAAAAATTTTCTAGTTGGGGCATCTGGCTGGCTCAGGTGGTGGAGCGCGCTACTCTTGATCTCAGGGTTGTGAGTTTGAGCCCCACATTGGGTGTAGAGACTATTTAAAAATTAAAAAAAAAATCTTTAAAGAAAAAAAGGAAAATTTCCTAGTGAAAGAGTGGGACAAACTGAAGCAGTTTAATAGGACATTAAAGTTTTAGAACAACTCAAGGATCATGTGTCCCAATTCCTTTTTAGTGATAATGAAAATAGGAACCTAGAGAGGTTAACCTATCAGGCCCGGATGAATCACACGCCAGGGAGGAAGGAGGAAAAAAAAAAAAAGAATTCTCTTGGTGATGTCCACATCAGAAATGGTGAGTCTGCGCTTTAAAAATCCCCTCTCTCTGTTTGAGACACAGAGTATGAGAGGGCAAAATGTAAAAAGGGAACACTAAACCAACACCTGCTGACTCAAAGGCAGAGCGGTCGTCGAGGTGGACAGAAACAGAAATGCACAACGGAGCAGGGCTTGAGACCACAAGCCTAGGAGGTTCTGCTTCGGTTCTCCGTATGCGTCAGGAAGCAGGAGTGGGGGCCAGGAACCCGCTCCTCCAGAGGAAAGGGGTCTACAGTACCTTGCGCAACACAAGGGATAGAATCAGCTTCAGTGCTTGAAGCCGGGGGCTAGGTGGCGCTCTCCTGCTTGTGTACGGAGAACTATTTGCTGACAATGGCTGCGGCTTTAATAGAAGATGGGACCGGAAGTAAAAATTCCAATGAAGAAATCCATTATCACGAAATCAGCCGACAAAACTTAACAGATGGAAGAGAATTCACTCCAATCTGACAAGGACTTTAAAAAATGTCAGTGCTGGAAGAATTCAGAGAAATTAAGGCATGATTTCCATTAAAAAAAAAAAAAACCATGAAATTATGAATCAAAAGAAAAGCGAAATAAAACGAGATTGGGGGATACGAACAAATAGCCACTTAAAACTGGTGGAAATGAAGTTACAGAGTGAAATTTAAGAGTGTAATAGGCGGGGCCAACTCTAGAAGAGACAAGATGAGGAGACATACACCGCAGGTGACTGTAACTTGCCGCCTCCACTGTGAAAAGTGGTTTGCGTCATCCGCCCCAAAGGGAAGATACACATAATCTGCTGTGTACAAGTTCTTCTCCTACAGCAGCATGTATACAGGAGAGCTACACAAAAATGTTCAGAGCAGCATTTTTCATCAGAGACGAAAAGAGAGGACAACTAAAAGGTCACCAACAGTTGCATAAATACTAAACCATGGCATTTTCATATAGTGATGAAAACGAATGATGTCAAAGCTCTATGTAATAACATGGAGAATCTCACAGATGTGATGGTGAGAGAGAAGCCACATTAAAGAATACATACTGTATGACTCAGTCTCTCTCACTTTCTCTTGTCTATTTTTAATATACAAAGTATTAAAAACACGAAAACTCAACTCTGGTGTTGAAGGTTGCACTTATTTTTTAATAAAGATTTTATTTATTTATTTATTTGAGAGAGAGCACGCACCGGCAAATCGGGGGGTGGGGAGGGAGAGGGAGAAGCAGACTCCCTGCTGAGCAGGGACCCCACCCCCCACCCCAACGTGGGGCTTGATGAAGGGCTCGATCCCAGGACCCTGAAATCATGACCTGGGCCAAAGGCAGGTGTTTAACCGCCTGAGCCACCCAGTCACCCTGAGAGTAGTGTATATTAAGTGCTGGAACTATAAAGTAAAGTAAGGAAATGATAAAAGCCAGGGCACTGGTGACCTTAGGGGAGAGGGAGAAGCTGTGAGTGCGAGGGGCGCACAGGTTCCTGGCTGCTGGCCCTGTTCTGTTTCCTGCCCTGGGTGGAGGATACATGAGTCTTCCCTTTATAATCATTTGTCAAGCTGTACATTGATATTTTATGCATCTTTCTGTAGGTATTTTATATTTCACAATAAAAAAGTTTTGATTTGCTTTGTTTTATTTTTTTTAAAGATTTTATTTATTGGGGCGCCTGGGTGGCTCAGTCGTTAAGCGTCTGCCTTCGGCTCAGGTCATGGTCCCAGGGTCCTGGGATGGAGCCCCACATCTGGCTCCCTGCTCCGCGGGAAGCCTGCTTCTCCCTCTCCCACTCCCCTTGCTTGTGTTCCCTCTCTCGCTGTGTCTCTGTCAAATAAATAAAATCTTTAAAAAAAATAAAAAAATAAAAGATTTTATTTATTTATATGTCAGAGAGACAGAGATAGCACAAGTGGGGGAGTGGCAGGCAGAGAGAGAAGCAGGCTCCCTGCAGAGCAAGGACCCCCAATGCGGGACTCGATCCCAGGACTCTTGGATCATGACCTGAGCCAAAGGCAGGCGCTTAACCGACTGAGCCACCCAGGTGTCACTGCTTTGTTTGTCTTAAAGAGAGAATTTGGAATGTAAGGTAGGTAGGGAGGAACTAGTGAGGGATGCAGGACAGAGAAGCAAGGGGATGAAAATATATAAAAGAACAGTTCAGAGTCGGGGAGGATGGGTTTAAAGGTGCCAATATTCATACAATAGCAATTGTAGAAGAGGCCAGAGGTAATGGTAGAGTAGCAATGCTTAAAGAAATAACTGCTGAGGATTTTCTAGAATTGAAGACAGACTTATATCCAATTTATCTAACAGGGTAAGTAAAATCAAATCTAAACCCTGGGCACATCATAGTAAAAGTGTAGAACATCACTGATAAGAACATGTTAAAACCCCCCCATCCCAGAAAATAAGCCAGGTTATCTGTAAGAGAAACCACATTTAGATCAGAGGTCTCATTAGCATAAAAAATGGCCAGAAGGGGGTGCCTGGGTGGCTCAGCTGGTTAAGCGACTGCCTTTGGCTCAGGTAATGACCCTGGAGTCCCAGGATGGAGTCCCCCATCAGGCTCCCTGCTCAGCAGGGAGTCTGCTTCTCCCTCTGACCCTCCCCCCTCTCATGTTCTCTCTCTCTCTCTCATTCTCTCTCAATTAAATAAATAAAACCTTTAAAAAAAATGGCCAGAAGGGATGTAGGAGAAACAATGGCTTCACCTAAGATTTTATACCCACCGCAGAGAGAGGGCAAAGTAAAGACAAATCTAAAAGGAATAGGCTTACTACCTGAGGCTCTTATAAGAGAACCACAAAAGGATGCCCCTCTGCAAGAAAAAAATGGGGGGAGCGCCATAAAAGGTTTGACCCCAAAGAAATGATACTGGACACAAAAAATGATAAAATAAGCCATTAAGTATGATTTACTATCTACTGATAAGAAAACAACTAATTACCGCCTGCTTAAGAAAAAGGGGAGGGGCACCCGGCTGGCTGAGGCGGTTAAACGTCTTGTGCGTCTTGTGCTGAGACTCCTGATCTCAGCCCAAATTTTTTTTTAAAGATTTTATTTATTTATTTGTCAGAGAGAGAGAGAGAGAAAACGGTAGGCGGAGAGAGAAGCAGACTCCATGCTGAGCAAGGAGTCCGATGCGGGACTCGGTCCCAGGACCCTGGGATCATGACCCGAGTCAAAGGCAGATGCTTAACCAACTGAGCCACCCAGGCGTCCCCCAACTCAGCTCTTGATCTCAGGGTGGAGTTTGAACCTTGTGGGCTCCCCGTTGGGCAAGGAGCCTACTTTTTAAAAAAAAGAAAAAGAAAAAGGGGAAACGAAAACTTTAAACTCAATGACAGGATTGCTGGTGGAGGTGATAGAGGAAAAGCATTTGAGGTTATCATCATGGGTGGGACATTCAAATTACTAAACAACTATCAACACTGCTAAGAAAATATATAGTTAAATAATACATTTATTTTTTTTTAAAGATTTTATTTATTTATTTACTTAGAGAGAGAGAGAGAGAGAGAGAGAGAGAGAAACAGCATGAGAGGGGAGAGGGTCAGAGGGAGAAGCAGGCTCCCCGCTGAGCCGGGAGCCAGATGTGGGACTCGATTCCAGGACTCTGGGACCATGACCTGAGCTGAAGGCAGTCGCTTAACCAACTGAGCTACCCAGGCGCCCAATAATACATTTTTTTAACGTAGGCTCCACACCCAGTGTGGGGCTTGAACTCATGACCCTGAGATTGAGTCGGATACCCTACCAACTGAGCCACCCAGGCACCCTATGGTTAAAATAATATCTTCAAAATTTAAAGGTACCCAGAAAAGAAAAGAAACCCAAAACAACAACAACAACAGGAAATGCATGATGTTGCTTCCAAATCAGCAGAGGGAAAATGCAAAATTAAAAGACTTAAGATGTGCTGCTACAGTTTCAGTTTTTAAAAAATGGAGAGTAAATTTTTAATACCTCAGATTGCCAATCCTAACAATCTGTCAAATTAAAGAAATGATTATTAAATATACACTTTATAAGCACAAAAAATGGAAGTGGTGTGACCATGTGGGATTACCAGGAATTAATTGAGAAAAAGTTTTACCAATGTAGCTTTACGCTTTGCCCTCTTTTTTGGTTTGGTTCAATTTTTTTACATGTCTATTAATTGAAACAAAAAGTGAGAAGATACAGAAAAAAGAAAAAATCTTATCTCCTACTATGAACGTGTGTGTGTGTGTGTGTGTGTGTGTGTGTGTGTGTGTGTGTGTATAAGTGTGTATGTTGTGGCTCAGGCAGGCTGCTAGGTTAGCAGACGAAGCAAGGGACAAATCCGAGATGCACTGAAAAGAAATGGACTCGGGAGACTGGAGATGGCAGAGGGGTGGCCAGGTGTCTAGATTTTGACGTCCAATAACCTGAATTTGCATCCTGGATCTGCTACTAACTAGCTGTCAAAAGTTACTATGGCCAAGTGACTCCAATTTCACTTCCTACTCTCAAATGCCTTGTGAGGACATAGCGAAGCCTGTTTGTCAGTCTTATCTACTGTCCCTCTCAGCTTTAAAATTCTATGAATCTTTAAAAAATTACATGAACTGAAACAAAATCTTAAAGCATATGCTTGTTAAGTTCCCAGATGAGGCAAAACTGGAAAAGTAACAGAGTAAAGAGTTAAAAAGAATCTAGACTGTGTCACTGTAGGTTGAAATCACTATCATGAAATTTGACAGGAAGAAGCAAAGACATGAATATAGATTAACAAAAGATCTGCAGGGGCACCTGGCTGGCTCAGTTGGTAAAGCATGTCACTCTTGATCCTTGATCTCGGGGTCATGAGTTCAAGCCCCAGCTTGAGTGTAGAGATTACTTAAGAGGAAAAAAAAAAAAAAAGATCTGCACAAATACGGAATGGAGAGGACATGGTATGACAATGAGTCATTTGAAAAAGAGCCAGATATTTTAACATCTGCTTCTGGAGCCAATGATATGATGGGGTTATTAGACTAATTAATGAACTCTTAGGCTAGAGTAGCAGAAGCAGTGTTTGTGGTCAGAGAGGAATAAATCACACTAGTAAGTACAAGTCAGATTACATGTAGAATATTCTATTCCATTCTGGAAGAGTCTGACAAATTGGAATGCATCTAATGAAGGGAGTCCAGAACTAGAAAGCATCCAGAAACCATATGACATCAGGGCACTGGGGAAGTTTTTTCTGGAGTAGAAAGACCCAGAAAAAATGACAGCCATGGGGCACTTGGGTGGCTCAGTCGTTAAGCATCTGCCTTCGGCTCAGGTCATGATCCCAGGGTCCTGGGATCGAGCCCCGCATTGGGCTCCGTGCTCGGTGGGAAGCCTGCTTCTCCCTCTCCCACTCCCCCTGCTTGTGTTCCCTCTCTCGCTGTCTCTCTCTGTCAAATAAATAAATAAAATCTTTTTTTTAAAAAAAAGTGATAGCCGCCTCCTAGTATTTGAATGCTCTTGACAGCTGATCCAGGTCTAGTGGTAGAGGTGTTAAGAAGCAGTTTTTGATGCTATCTTCAAACAGAAGTTGTAGGGCTATCGGTGAAGGAAAGAAGAGAAGGCTCTTTGTATTGGGAGGGAAGTTAAGACCTGGTAAACCCTATCCCAGAAGCCCTTTCCAGGTCTAAGGCATCTCTAATTCTAAACGACTGACTGTCTCCAGTATAAGGAAAACAGAGAGCAGCTTCCTCATTTGCCAAAGGTAACTTTTAACAGACAGTACATATTCGATGTGCCCAGCTCTGTACTAAGCACTTTGCACAGGGGGAAAGAGAGCAGGACAGGGCTTATAGGAATTCACCTTTTGAGAAATGATATGATACCATTATTACACAGACCAAGTGTTTCCCAAATGCTTCTATTATCCATAGAGAAGGGGTTGGGGGAGAGAGAACACAGTGCTTATGTCAGGAGGGGTCAAGAAAAAAATGGAAATAAATTCTTCATGCTCTAGGCAGAGCAACTAATAAAATGTCTGAACTATAAACAGAAGTCTAATACTTGTGACCAAATTATTATCGACACTTTAGGAAACAAGCCTCAGTAAGCCTTCAGATCAATTGGATATTTGTACATTTCAAGGGAACCATTTAAAATGAATTGTAAAGAGATGCCTTTAAGAAATGTATCTAAGGGGAGGGGTGGGGAATGGGCGAAATGGATGAAGGGGAGAAGGAGACACAGGCTTCTGGTTATGGAATCAATAAGTCACAGGAATAAGAGGCACAGCATAAGGAATACAGTTAATGATACTATAATAGCTCTGTATGGGACATATGGGAGCTGCACTTGTGGTGAGCAGAGTCCAATGTGTAAGCTTGCTAAATCACTAAGCTGTATACCTGAATCTAATGTAATATTGTGTGTTAACTATACTCAACAACAACAAAAAGAATGTGGGGTGCCTGGCTGGCTCAGTCAGTAAAGCATGTGACTTGGGGTTGAGTTTGAGCCCCACACTGGGTGTAGAGATTACTTAAAAATAAAATCTTTAAAAAAAAAAAAGAATGTATCTGATTTGATAAAAAGAATACTGCTTCTTTGACCTTACCAATAAAAGTTAGTTATGTTTCTAATATAAATTCATCATGCCCTACAGACTTAAGACTGATATATTCCTACTAGAATTTACAAATGTGTTTGAAACAAACACTTCCACTGAAAAAAGGCATAAATCTCCTCACTTTCTTCCCCACACCAAAATTGGACACAAAATTTATTTTTATGGGGAGACACGTGAAGAGAGTCCCTCTGCTTTTGTGCCCAGTGGTTCTCTTTGAACACTGGGGTACTGTAGTCATAAAAACACAGAATTTTCCAGCTGACAGAAATACTTGGAGAGCAAGTCAACACCTTCATTAAACTTCAGAGATAAAAAACCTTACACTGCCAAGCGACTACAAGGTGCCACAAGGGACTGGTAAAGAACCAAGGAGCCCATACACTCAAGATCTCCTGGGAGTCCTGACCCCAGCTCAGTCCCAGGTTCCTGCCACTCAACCAAATGCCAAGAAAAAAACT